CTGACACCCCAGGAGCCGCCCCCAATTACTGATTCTTTGGAGGTTAGTGTATGAATGTCCCAACTCCCTTGCAGTTGGTAAAGAGTCTGCCCATAATGCAGGAGACCTGGGTTTGATTCCTAGGTTGGGAAGATCCCCTGGAGAAGGAAATGGCAGCCCACTCCAGTGTTATTGCCTGGAGAATCCCATGGACAAAGGAGCCTGGCAGGTGACTGTCTCTGGGGTCACAAGAGTCGGACATGACTGAGCGCACACACACACACACACACACACACACACCCTTGGCCCTCGGGTGGGATGATCCTGAGCTCTGGGCTTTGTTGCGTTTCCCTGAGTTTCTCATGGGTTTAGCTTCAGCTGGTTAGTCATATGCCCTCCAGTGGCTCGGACATGACTGAGCACACACACACACACACACACCCTTGGCCCTAGGGTGGGATGATCCTGAGCTCTGGGCTTTGTTGTGTTTCCCTGAGTTTCCCATGGATTTAGCTTCAGCTGGTTAGTCATATGCCCTCCTCCCTTGCTTGAGTCCCTTCCCAGCTGATGGTTTTGCATGTATCGAATGGACTACGTGCACTTAGATCCTTGTTCTTTAGGAACCCAGGCTAGACACTCACTAAGGACTTGCAGTAGTAACTGGGAAATTATGCTGTGATATGATATTTTGCAGGGAACCGCGTTTAAAAAAAGACAAAAAACAAAACAAGACATTGACTTTTCCTTCAAAGCCCTTCATGCTCTGCCTTCTCTGCTTGGGAGATCTCTTTCTACTGTCATACCACCTTTTGCTAGCATCTCTTTAGTTCCATCTGTTCTCTTTATTTCTTCAAATAACTCAATTTTATGCATCTTGAAATCAAGGTTTCCACTTGTCTCTTCAATGCTCTTTGGCTGTAGTTCTTTATATTTCCTTTCCTTCCCTGCCACTCTTTCAAATAAGCATCTGAGAAAATTGCTGCTATTTTCTCTTTTCACTTTTTGCATAACCACTGACAATTTGGTTACCATCATCACACTTGAGTCAAATAGCTCTCAAGTTCCCACTAACAACCTTCTTATTACAAAATGTAGAGGTCCTTTTTGTGTCCTCTTGTCATTCTTGTCATTTCTGTTACCATTGACCATATTAATAACTTTTCTCCCTGAAAACTGTGTCTTGAATAATTGAATTCTTAGAACCTTATATCACAAGGGACATTTAGTCCATCCATTTCACTTTACATCTGGGGGAAACTGAGGGACTGAAAAGATTGAATGTTTTGCCCAGCAAGGAGCACAATTGTAAAACCAGGATTTTAAATCCAGGGCGTCTGGCCTACCATCCAGTATGAGAACTGGTTTTGGTAAGTTCTCGTCCAATACCTTCAGAGCATTCCTAATTTTTATTCCTTCTTGTAGAAAACCCTTCCAGCTGGTCTCCTGGCTCCATCCTTCCACCGCCCATTCTCCACTGTAGGCGTTGTAGGCATCCTAACTAGGATGCCATTTCTAAAATGTAAACCGGAACTTATCACTCCCCCACTTAGCCTCCAGTTCCTCTTTACTGCACTTAAAATAGAGCCTAACCCCCTTTCCATGCCTTGAAAGACTGCCACGGTCCAACTCTCTAATCTCATTCCCTGCAGTCTTTACTCTTAGGGGTCCCCGTGCTCCATCACACAGACTCTCCCTCAACAGGTCAGCAAGACGAGCTTAGCCCTGCCCCTGGGTGCTTGCTTTGCTCTTTCTTCTACGTGAAATATTTTTCTCCCAGACCATTGTCCACCTGCTTCCTTCCCGTCATTTGGTCTCAGCTTAAATGACCACCTCCTCAGACATACCTTATGCTGATGACACCGTATCTCATATTGTACCTAAACATACCACTGGCTACAGTTACAGAACTTACTGACTTGACTTGGAGTTTATTGTGTTTCCCACACTTAGGATACAAATTCATAGAGTATAGAATGTCTTGTTTGCCATATCTCTAGTACTAGACTATCAAATGGCCAATACTTTGTGTTTAAGAAACATTTATAGGATAAATAAATGAATTAATGAATGATGTCTGAATTTTTCTTTCTCATTTCCAATAACCCTTTCTTTTACTCTCCAGTTCTATTACCTGCCTGTCAGTTTTTCTTGCAATATAATCAAACCGGCTTCCTCATGAACCAGTAAGGACAAAATACATTCCTGACTGGGGGCCTTTGTTCCAATTTTCTCTTTAACCAGAAATCCCATCTTATGCCTCTCTACCTATTAAAGTGGTATCACTCCACCAAAGCATAAGTCATTTCTATTTCTACAAAATCACTCCTCCCAGTCATCATTGATCACCCTTTCTTCAATTATGTAAAGTGACCCTTGAATTTTATGTAACCTAAATACTCATATATAATCTATACTATCCTGAATTGTGTCCAGTTCGTTCATATAATAATATTTAGGCACTGTGCCTAGACACTTGAAAGTGCGTGTATGCATATATATAGCCAGTCCTCATTATTTTTGGACTTTCTGAATTCACTTACTACCGAAAATTTATTTGCAACCCCAGAATGAAAGCCTGCAGTGCTTTCATGGTTATTCATGGACATTTGCAGAGGGGTGAAGACTTTAAGTCATCCAACACCTGTATTATGCCAGCTTAGGTCAACCAAAGCAACGTCCTGCTTTCTTTTTTCAGCTCTCCCACTGGAAATGTGTGCTTTCACACTCGGTTTAGTGCCACTTTTTTATATTTTTTGTGAGTGGTCTCACTGTTGAAAATGGTCCCCAAGCATGGTGTGAACTGCTGTCTAATTTTCCTAAGTGCATGAAGGCTGTGATGTGCCTCATGGAGAAAATGGGTATTAGATAAGCTTTGTTCAAGCATGAGTTATAGTGCCTTTTGTGGTTAGTTCAGTGCTAATTAATCAACAATATATATTAAACAAGATGTCTTTAAATAGAAACACTCATAAAACAAGATTACGTATTGATTAGTGATGAAACTGTTACAACCAAAGGCCTCCAGAAACCTAACCCTATATCTCCCCTAGGAGCAATGATTCAGTATTTGTTAATTCAGTGAACACAACTATCATGAATAATGAGAATTGACTATAGATGTGTGCATGTTATGTGTGAAGCTGTTAACCTCATTTAAGCATTTAGGAGACAAAGACACCAAGAGTTATTGAAATTAAGTAGTTTGCCCAACATTATTTGCAAAGCTGATAAATGGTAGATGTGGAATCTGGCTGCCATATCCCAAAGTCTTTTGGCTTTCAGTTTATACCAGTGACTTTTCTTTGTTTGTTTTAATTAGATGGAATAATTCTATATAATAATTCTATCTAAAAATTATTTCTGTGTGTATACACACATACAGAAATAGTGGTAGATGATATATATTTTTTAAAGCTTGCTTTGTAATCCCAATTTAGTGTTTAAGTACAGTGCTCTCGAATCTTAAAAGAGAAATAGAAGGACCTCTTTATTTCTAAATTGAGTTGTAACTGCAGATTTCAAGTACTTATCATGGAAATGAAGGTCTGATGAGTGAACAACCTTAAAAATCAAAGCTATAAAAATACAGTCCTGGATGTTTGTCTTGGCTTGGGGATCTGCACTTTAAACTTGCTGATCATGTATCTGAACTGAACTAGCCCCGGCTACAGAAGTGGACACTCCTGTACATTGCATGTGGACACACCCAGGCCTGATTTTATAAAGAGCTATCACCTGCTTAGTCAATTGCACATTTATATAGAGAAATGGAAATTATATCTTGAAATCTGTTAGGAAACAGATTAACATGGGTTAACTTTCTGTATAGTCTCCAGTGTTTTGTGTATTTATACATGCATGTATACTTATACATGTGTGCATATACGTTGAATTTTTTCCTTCATATTTTATTTTCAAAAAAGAAGTTAAATAATTTCAGAACATGCAAAACACTTTTATGAACACAGTTAAAAGCCTGTTTGTTTGTTTTCTTTCCCTGCTTATGCTGTTATTTTCCCAGTGGGTTTTTTAAGAATCCTATCTCTTAATACTTTTATATTTGCAAATGATCTCAGTCTAGTGCTGAATATAAAGAAACCTCTCACCACTGAAATCCAGTTTAGCCCACATGGTTGGCAACCAGCTGTAACAATAACAAAGATTTCTACAGCATTCTGGTTAGAGTTAAAAAGTGTGATGGAATGATGACACCTGATTCTGTAGCACAGTGTCTTGATGTATGTATAAAAGTGGATATCATATTTTTCATATGATATGCTCTTGACATTTCTTTTTACCTTGAAAGCAAGAGTCATGAGGCTCAAATTCGAACTTCCCAACTTCCAAAAAGCTGTAAGTGACAGGGTTGAGTAAGGAGCCACAAGCAAACAGGGAGGCCAGGCCAGATGACATTTTATGTCTGCCTCAAGGCTCTGCTACAGATCCTGGAGTATTTTCTAGGAAGGGGGCTATAGGGTCCTTAAGAGCCATGTCATTATTGTGCTGAAGGAACTAAGTGGTTTCAGCATAGAATTCTGAGATCTTTACCATTTAAATATTTTGTAGTATTTTCTTTTACCTTATACTGGTTGCACGTCCAGTGACTTTGATGATCTTATTTTGAGGAACTAAGCTATTCACAAGTCAAGGTATCAAGATTGACTTACTTTCCTGCAGTGTAGAGCAGAGCTGAATTTCATGGTGCAGATCAAAGTGAATTAACCAAATGAATTCACCTACAACTTTTTGGGCTCAGTCACTTCTCAAACAGGGCAGAGGACATGTGCATTCACTGGTGGTAACCCTGTGACTTGACCTGCCAAAATTCATTAAAGTTATCTCTTGTGTTTATAGTATTGAGCACCACTAATACAAGCACCACTCAGAATGTGTTTGGCAAACTTTTCTCTACCTCAGCCCTGGAAAGAAAGCAAAAAGGAGGGTTCCAGACTCTTCAGCCTTAAACTCTTTCTTATTTTTCAGTGAAGATGACTAAAAACAACAATTCTTTCTTGCTTCAGGAAAAACTGTCAGAAGGAGAGCGAAAGCACAAGACAGCTTTGGAAGGCCGTCAGCTGGTGCTGGATGAGGACGCGAGGAGTGAAGGCAGCAGTGCGGACGAGGGGCAGGAAAAGACCAAATGGCTGCTAGAAAGGTTGAAAGCTCTAGAGGTAAGAAATGGAACCGTTTTTTACATGTTTAAAGAGAAACAACCGTGTTCTACTTCTTTTACTGGCACTGCTTTTGAGAAAGGCTAAATCTCCCTTTCTTAGTTCTCCCAGACTAATAGGATCTAGTAGCTGCCGTTGAGATGCCTTTGTCAATGATGAGTTTAGCGTTAAAATTTGTTTCACTGAATGAGTCTTAACCTGGTAACTATGAATGTGTTGCCTTGAAAAGAGTACATAAGACAATAATTCATCTTAAATTCAGTTTGGCCCTCAAACTAGATCAGTGTCCCTAAAATTGCAAGTTCTTTGAAGGAATGGTTGAGTGATATTCTTGCTTTATTTTCCCAATACCTAATGATTGAATAAATGAATGAATAAACAAACTATTGAATACTGTGCCAGGACAATTATAAGAAAAATAATGTTAAGCAGTAGAGCTATTTCTTCAAAAAACAGAAAAAGCTTATGCTGAAGTTCAACATATAAAACATATATAAATAGAGGTGAAGTTGCACTAAGGGTGCTTTAAGGAGGATTTTTGACCACTGTAGTCCTCCAAAACAGTTCAAAACTTCTGGTCTGTTACTTAGTGGCATTTGACATCATTTCAACTATTAATTCCCAAATGTTTATAGCAGCCCTCAAAGAGTGTTTTAGTTATTAGTTTACATGCTGAAAGATCCAGCAAAGATGCCTTTTTCTGTGAGTTAGCTTACCTCCTTTCAATAAATGTTTTGTTTGCATATAATACTGGAATGTAATTATTTTTAAGCAAGGATTATGGTAAGGCCACCTCTTCTTAAACTAGGCACAGTGGGCCCTCAGCCAATATCTAAAGATGTACTCCAGTGTTCTTGCCTGGAGAACTCTCTGGACAGAGAAGCCTGGTGGGTTACAGTCCACAGGGTTGCAAAGAGTTGGACATGGCTGAGCAACTTTCACTTTCACCACAGGTTCTACAGAATCCTGAAACTTCCTGTGGTAATGTGAAGAAACATGACCTTGACAGATCTTCTTTTCTTTTACTGACTTCTGCAGTTCTGTCCCTAATCCTAACTACCATGTTGTCTCTAGACGCATGCTATTTTTACTTTAATTTCCTCAATAATGGTAAAGCAAAAGGAATAAGATTATGGACTTTGGAGACAGATTCCCACAGATTGGTTTGAATCTCAGTTTTATTATTTTCTAGTTTTGAATCCTCGGGCAAATCAATTAGACTCTATGCCTCTGTTGCCTCAACTGCAAAACTGGGTATAATAGTAACTTACCTTACAGGGAAGTAATGGGGCTGAGTGAGTTAATATTTGTACAACAGTGCCTGGCCTATGGCCTTTTCTGTCCTCTACTCCAAGGCTCCTGCCTTTCCTTACATGGTTTTACCCCTATTTATCTGAGTACTATCATTAATACAAGAACTATGAATGAAAAACGTCAGCTGTTCCACACCAGAGTGACTGAAGGTTTAGTCTGTGATGTCACATATGGGGCAGAAGAGAGGTCAACTTAGGTACCCTCTGGCAGTTCCTTTTGAGCAAAAGGCCAATACTCACCTGTTTCCCCAAAGGTTCTCATTTGTCATGTTCAAGATAATCGCTGTGAAAGATAGAAAGGCCTTCTCAAGGGAAACTGAGGCTGTTATCTGAGAGTTTTGAGAACTTAGATTTGTCTTGAGGTTGAATTAACTGGATTTAATTGTAGGAATGAATTAATATTACAATTTATTTACCTATAACCACATACTTAATTGTTAGTCTTATTGATGATCACAGTGAAAATTGCTTTTAGTTCATTTAATTGTCACTGAGGCAACTTTTGAAGGACGTTTTATTTAATCAAGCTAAGAGGTTTCTAAAAAGTGTCTTTGGCAGTGAATGTTTTTTAAACCCTCACTGAGTAAGAAAGAACAGTATTTTTTTTTCTTTCACAGAGATCTTTACACTTCAGGCAACAACTCTTGCCTCCAGGATCAGTTGGATACAATAAATGATATCTCTAAGTGCCATTAAGCCCCGCAATTTTAATTAAAAAAAATATTTTATTTCCTAAATTAATGTTCTCTAGTCACAATGTCGTGACTTCTTTCCTAAAATTCTTTACTGAATAGTAAATGAACTCTCTCCTTGCTCCTAATAGTAGTCACTATTGTCTACCTAAACTTCCGTGGTGGCTCAGATGGTAGAGCGTCTGCCTACAATACGGGAGACCTGGGTTCGATCCCTGGGTTGGGAAGATCCCCTGGAGAAGGAAATGGCAACCCACTCCAGTATTCTTGCTGGAGAGTCCCATGGACAGAGGAGCCTGGTGGTCTACAGTCCATCAGGTTGCAAAGACTACCTAAACAGATAATAAGAAGAAATCATATCACATACACAAACACACACACAGTTATACATCCTCTGGTTGTTACAAGAATTTTGTGTTACTTTATTGTCAAAAATTTAATATTTGTGTTCTCTATATAGAATCCTTTGCATAAGTTAACAGTTACTGTGAGAAAATAAAAGACTGATTTTGATAGACTGTAGTCAGAGCTGGTCACAGACCCCCACATAGATTTCTACACTTTAACAAAATGCTCTTTTGGGAGATTGCTAGTGAATTAACCATAATGCTTCAAAATTACTTTGGTGAATTTTGATGTCATGCGGCAAGATTTTAGAAAGACAAAAATATTTTCTTTTCCATCAGTGTATTTTTGAAACAATCATATTTTTGTACCTTAATCTCTTGGCCCCTGGTATGGTAGGAAGCAGAGAGTTATGATTGTCAGAGTGATGGAAAGCCGATTTCATTCATTCCTGCTCCACAAACAGGTGCAGAAAAGAAGAGACACAAACTTGACATTTAATATTATGTTCTTGATGAATATCACAATATTATTCAAAGCCAGCCTGAACTGATTCAGGGATAGACTGAGAGTTTGGAAATAGCAGATACAAACTTTTATATATAGAATGGGATAAACAACAAGGTCCAACTGTATAGCACAGAGAACTATATTCAGTTCCCTGTGACAGACCCTAGTGGAAAAGAATATGAAAAAGAATGCATATATATTTATAACTGAATCACTTTGCTGTATCGAAATTAACACAACATTGTAAATCAACTGTACTTGAATAAAATGAATTTTTAAAAAAACAACCTAGATTATAGCCAAGCCGTCCCTGACTTTGAGAATTAAGTATACGTTGTCCAAGCACCAGATCCCCCTGAAGAAAGTCTAGTGCTCCCACGCCTACCTCAGAGCCATTCTCTCTTGTGGCCATTCCAGAGGCTACGTTTCTGTACCATTCAACTGTCCATCCCTCTTTCTTCTTTCAGAATCAATCTCAGGTGGGACAGAATCCACTTTACTCACTTTTCCCAAAATCCAGTCCCACGAGGAATATGTGGTCGTGCAGACTGTCCCCACGGCTAAGGGCTTTGCACTTACCCTGTAGAAAGCCCTTCCTCCAAGTCCCTCAGCTGCTGGGCATTCCTCACTGGTCACTTCTCCTCAATTCCTAGCCTCCTGGCATAGACCAGCTTTTTCTCATTTTCACATTTCTCACATTTTCTCTCCCTCAGCTGCTGGGCATTCCTCACTGGTCACTTCTCCTCAATTCCTAGCCTCCTGGCATAGACCAGCTTTTTCTCATTTTCTCATTTCTCACATTTTCTCTCCCATAGCCTCACTCCCCATCATGTTATTACATAGAGCTCTGTTGATCTCTGCACCTCATTCATGGTCTCATTCCACACTGTTCCCTGGCTCATCAAGGTATTTTGCTAAATAAGGCATTTATTAACCTTCCAAAAAGAACTCCTTGGCCAGCAGTCAAAATAATAATTTCATATACACATGCATCTCACACTTTTTTTTTTCTTAGCAGTTGTTTTCTCCACTCAGTGCCTTGGTTTTGGTGTTTGTCAAGTGTTGATGCAGAAGAGCAGGACACTTAACATCACCACCCAGCAACTGCTTCCCCTTGGTCTAAATGATAATTTTCATTTAGGGTCCCAATGTCTGCTGGAGAAACCATTTGATATATTTTATGTCTATGCCACAAGGACCATATAGGCAATCTGGATGCTGCTTAGACATTTTCTCTAACTCTTAAGTGCTAACTATGGTATTTTCTGTTTTTAAGAAAAGTTTAGATTTCCATGGCTGCTATCAGAGACTGCTTTCTCAAAATAGAGCTCACCATTTTCATTGGCATGGCACCACCATGTCACAGGCCCCTTCCATTCCTTTCTCCTACCCCATCTCAGACCATGGGTCTAAAGATTCTTCCCAGACTTGACCTTCACAGTCCATTGATTTGACCTTGTATCTTCCTTATTCTCTACTCCTGGGCTTTGGCCTCAGGCCCCAGGTTTGTTCTTGGCATGTTCCTTGAAATGCACAATTCCTTGTCTCCAAACCCTCTCCCTATGGGCCAAACAGCCCTTTCTCCCCATGCATTAACCAACTTCGTACTTGACCAGAAATCAACCTGGACATCCCTATATCACTTTAAACTCCCATCGCATCTCTTATTCTCAGACTCTAGCCAGAAGGAGGACTGGCCTGAAACCATCTGGGAGTTTTGAGTCTCCAGGTTCTTGCAGAAGCCTTAGCTACAGCCTGAAGTCAGAAGAACTTAGCTTCTTATAGGAAAGATTTACTCTGTGCAGAAAAAATATGGCAATTAAATGTGTTAAAGTGAATAGCTTTCTTGTACAGTTAAACTTTCCTTGAAAGTAGGACAGTTAAAGTGCTAAGCTTAAGCATTCTTGTTAATCAGTAACTCCTATTTAAAATGAGGTAGTCTAGAATAGCAATTCTCAAATCTGGCCACACATCACAATTATATGTTGATATTTAAGTCAATAGATATTAACTGAATGCCTTCTATGGGTGAAACACTATTCTAGACCCTGGGATTTGATCAATTTTCATGGTCCTCAACCCCAGTCAACCCCAGGCAATGCAGACAAAATGTACAAACTTAAATAAAATAATAAATAAG